CTTGTAGAGAAGGATCTCTCTCCATATATGGAGAAAAGAAAATAATCGCAATTCGGTTTCTGGGTTACAATACTGTAGTGTATTTGCTCACAAGGAGATAGCAGAGAATAAATAGCCTTCATCAATGATCCTTCAATGGTATTCAAGTGTAAACACCTGACCAGAGGGTTGGTGTTAATCAAAAGACAATAAACTGCCACTTATTGCCATCATTGGAGGCAGATGCAATTTTTTGTCTTGCTCTTAAATCCTTCATCGGTGTCTATAATAAAGTTTTCATCCATCACTCAGTTACATAAGGAAACAAGAAAAAAAAGCTGGATCACACTGAATCTAACTACACTGAAGTAAAGTTTAATTGATCAAGAGCAGCTGAATGTTGCACTTGCTTTATGACTTTGGGGGTTATGTGGTAAACTTAACTTCCGTGCTGGAGGGCATTCACCAGCAGGCATTTGATCCAGGCATTTTTCTTGCTTCCATCTTTAGCTGATTATACTTGATGAAAAATTTGCTAGACCCAAATGAGAGATTGAAGAGCAAAAGAAAAAAATAGCATCCGCCTCCAATTTTGGCAAGTGGCAGTTTATCATGTTTTACAAACAAACCGTCGTATATATTCAAAACCCAAGTTTTGTATCTTCGAGGTATTTCCACACATCAAAATATACTTCTGGTCATTACAAGTATGCTGATTCTTATTGCTACTGTACAGCATTACCTAAACACAATATCATATGATAAAATCTTGACATTTCAACTGTAGTAGGATGTGTACAGAAATCGGCGGTGCTATTTATGTAATTAGCAAAGACGTTAATCCTTTTCTGTTTTCTTAATTGGCGGAATTATTGATAGAGCTGGCTGGACTCGAGACTGTCCTGGAACCCGGACGACTACGATGGTCTCAAGCATATCCGGCTTCCGGGAGACCAAGTTTGGAGACCCGACATCCAGCTCTACAACGAGTACGTTCCTCTACAAATTTTCGAAGACCAAGAAATAACTGCAAATGCCTGTCGTCATCAGCATTAAGTCCTCGGAAAAATAAATTGTATTGAAAAAATTAAGTGAATAAGAACCACGAAGCAGCTATATATATATATATATATATATATATATATATATATTTGAATGTCTTGAAAAAAGAAACATCGGAAGCTGAGCTCCAATAAGAAAGGCTTTTCAGATTAAAAACTGAAAATCACACACGTCTGAAGCGTATAAAGTGTAGTACGTAAGAAGAAAAGCCAACTTTTTATTTTTTCTCAGACAAGTTCAACTGCCATATTTTTTCTGAATTTATGGTCAATTAAGGATAACATAGGCTTCCTTACTATACTTTCTGTGGAAATGTATCATGCCAAAGAAATTTTCCCATGGACATCAGGCCAACAACTTGTGCTAGTTGTGCATGACGGGGTTATTGGGGAACACTGCTCTGTATATTGATTCATTGATTGCCAAGTGCATCACGCACTGTTTTTATTTTTTTTTCGCACACAATGTATATAAATATCGCACTGACAATGTGTATGTTTTATGCATGCAGCGACGGGAAACAAGGCGCAGCATCTGCCATCAACGCGAACCACGACGACCCCGTGAACGCCGTCGTGACGAGCGACGGCCGCGTCCTCTACGTGCCCGTCGTCCTCCTCTCGGCCATCTGCATGTCCATGGACTTCACCAACTGGCCCTACGACGTCCACTCCTGCAGCCTCAAGTTCGGCTCCTGGACCTTCGACGGCTACTCGCTCGACCTCGAGGTCTCCGAGCTCAACCAGGACACCACGACGGTATGAGCATATACATCCATCAATCAGTACTGTATATATAAAATAATTATAGTAGATTAAAAAATTAATCTAAAAAACCACGTTTTTCAAGTAAGACTAAAAAGCACAAAAAAAATTAGTAGATTAAAAAATTAATCTAAAAAACCATGTTTTGAAAAAGGAAAAATAACCTTAAACCTGGTGGGCATCTATTTCATTTGTATTTTACTTCTTCCCAACAATCCCCATGCGCACCACGTTTAAGGTTATTTTTTCCTTTTTCAAAACGTGGTTTTTTAGATTAATTTTTTAATCTGCTATAATTATTTTATTCTTTTTAAAAAATATTCTTATAATTTTTCTTTTCACAAAAGATTGCATTGTCATCAGTTTCTAAGCTATCCTGAAAGTTTCAGCTTGCTAGCTAGTTGGGAAGTGAGCAAAATTTGAATTTCAAAATTTGATCCGGACAAACAAACGGACAAGAAAGCAAGTTAATAAAAACGTGTTAATAACATCAATCCCACTGCAACTATATATACACAGCAGCAGCACTATTATAAGACACTGTTCATGATGTGAAATTATGAAAGAAGAGGTCAATTGAATTTGAACCTCAATAACTCAGCCTGATGTCAAGTGAAATTCTTTTCAAATGCCCGTTATTGGAATTTTCCTGAGAAACAATGCATTAAAAACCCTCCCCAGCAGCAATGACTCAAAGGCTTTTTCCTGCTCTCAAACCTCCATAATTAAGTCAAAGTTTCTGAGGCCTTTTGGCTAATATTTTCTTGACACTACATCAGGATGAAAGAGAGAAGCAATAAAAATTGAATTTGACACGTTTTTGAAAAGAAAGTGAAAGGCTGAATTGAAGAAATGAACTCTTTCCTCCAAGTTCAGCATCCTTTCAAGTAATTTAAAAAGCAATTTGAGGCCCATAATATCACTACTGTAATCACATTTTCTTTCGCTTCTTCCATGTTTCCAACAGAAAAACGTTCTTGAATCCATGTCTCAAACCCTTATAAGTCAAAACCTGCTCAAGTTGATACAGGTTTGACTCAAGTCTTGCTCATCTAAAGCTGAAAAATTGTTTTTAATGTCGAGGAGCCCTCAATATATGAATATGATTTCTTTTTCGTTTTCTTCTTTTTTTTTCTTTTACAAATGAAAGGGACTGAAGTACCTGGACACTCCTGCCAATTGGAAATTGCGCATGGACAGAGGAGAACGACTGTCGACGACTTACGCGTGCTGCCCCGAGCCGTACGTCAGTGTCAACTTCCCCTACACAGTGTGCCGAGTGCCTAAGCACGTGGAAAACACGTTGCTCACGCCTTTGCACAGTTGGGTCATTCATCCTCATTATTGTCACACACACGCACACATCATCACGCGATAATTCAATTCATTTCTCTCCATGCAACACAGCTGATGCTGATTGGTTCAAATTACCATATGTACTGTTTTATATTGCTTTGTATGGATTTAGTTGTGGTCGTGTTGACCCTGGTGGCCTTCTGGACATCTGCAGCCACCACAGTGGGTGTGTGTCTCGTCAACTCGGGCATCCTCATTGCCATGCTGCAGTTTCATGCCTCAGGGATCCCTTCATCAGAGACCAACATGCCTTCCATCAGTTGAGTCTGTTTCTTGTTGCTTCTTGGTATATCCATATATACAGTACAGTACCTAGCTTATTTCTCTGTTTCCCATTCTGAAGTGATTGAATGCGTTTAGGCTGGCTGGAGAGGGGGTTTGGATGTGGGAATGTTGATTGAGTCTTGTGAACACTGAAAAGCAGAAAATAACGCTTTTTGTTTGTTTGTTTGTGTACAGTAAATGCAGGCTACTGTGCATATATATACTTGTACAGGTGGTACCTTGCAATTTGACCCTAATCCATCGTCAAACTAGGGTTGAATTGCAAGAGAATCTGTGAAATAAAAAATGTAAGTTTAAAAAAACGCAAAAAAGTGGCCAAAGCAGGTCAACTTGCTGGGCAAAGGTCAAAGTCCAAGTCAACCTCCCTGCAAATTTTACTATCAAATTTTGGGAAAAGTGAATTGCAGGGTGGTCAAATTACAATATGTTACCACCTGTATTGATTTGATGTATTGCCAGAACATCTTCTTTTCTTATGCCCTGCATCCCATGTCATTAGAATTGAATTTTCAAAAGTTGAAGGATTCTTAAACTTAAAAAAAGGTGTTTGGGGAACTAGGAAAATGTGTTAGCTTATATGATATCTCTCCAAAGATTCTTCTTGAATTTTTTCATCAATTGAAACTTATCTGATAAAAGGACAAACACCCTGTGCTTTAATTCATGCTCAGTGATTGATTGCCTCATGCTGTGATTTTTTCTCATTCCTAGAAAAAATATAAGTGATGTAAATTCATTATTTATGCATTTGAATGGACTGTGAAATTTTTTTTTTGATGGGCCAGAATGTGTTGAAGTTATGTGACAAAACTTTGGTAACCTCATGAATGCTACTGTGTTATTCCCAGTTCACTTCTCGGCAAACCTACTCAAGTTGCAAGTTGCCCTTGTTGTCTGGACGTGTCTGGGACTGGGTCTGGTGACTCTGGTGCTGTGGATACCACCTGTGGCAGCCCTAGTGCGCCGATTACACACTGATGGTGGCATCCTGGCCACACTGTGCTGCTGGGGCATATACTTCACACCTGCTGGCACTGCCGCTGGCCCTGGGGCCCATGTTTCCGTGAGTTTTTCTGCTGTTTCTCATTGCTGTCATTTTTGACTCATTTGATCATCAAGAGGAAAACAAAAACAAAAATAAAGCAAGAGCAGCTAGGGTTCCCCAGCCTTTTTGGAACCATGGACCATCAACTTTCCAACAAAAAACAAAAAATTGAGGACTGGTAAATTTTTAAATTTTTCTGCAGACCAGCAAATTTTCATAAGTTTTCTGCATACTCAAAAAGGTTTTGCTTGAAAGAGTTTATGGCAAGTAATTAAACAGTTTTTTCTTTTTTTTATAAAGAAATGGTGCACCAATGAAACAGCTGTAAAATAGGGAAATGTATTCCAAGAATTAGAAAGGCGCGGCTTGAAGAAAGGTTTCTCAGGTTAAAAAAAATTGAAATAAATTCTTTCACCATGCAAACGTTTTTCTGAAGTGCTGTTGATTGGGAAAAGCGGTAACTTTAAGTTTTTCATCAGATAATTCCAACTCTGCAATTGTTTTTGCAAAATTTTGAATAAAGAAAACCACCTTGATTGCTACATTTGATAAATTTAGAATGTTGCAGAAAATTTACTGTGGACTGGCAAAAAGTTTCTGTGGACTGGCACCAGTGATTTGATCCTAATTAAAATTGAATCCAGCAAAATAAATAAAACAATGTCATCTGAAAATTTCTGAGAAACTCTGAAATGATGACACCGCCCTGATGCATCATGCAAAAAAAAAAAAGAAAACGAATGAAATTATTAATCGGATTATCTGATGAATATTCCACATTACACACACACACGACACATTTAATGCAATGCAGAAAATAATACAGGGAAAATGATTCGTTCGCAGTTGCGACGCGTCAACGACGGCGACACCGACGGTCTGGCCAGCAGCCTCGCCACGGAACACGAACAGCAGCATCACGACGACGAAGCGGGGTCATCCGGGCTCAGCCCGACGTGTGACCCGAAACCCCAGCACCGACGACCTGACCCGACCTCGACCTTGTTCCTGCACAGGGTGCTTCACATGCTCGTGTTCGTCGGCTTCCTCGCAGCGATCGTCTCCTTTTTCGCCGTCTTCTGGCCCGTGGCACTCGACGAAAATTGTTCTGAGGACTGACATCTATTTAGCGTGAATGACATGCCTCTCAGTGAATCATGTCTCTTATTCCTTGGTGTAGATGACGCTCCAATGCGATTCGCACCTCACTCCGAGTTTCACCGTATTACAATCCATGATTTTGAAAATGCTTCGAAAAAAAAAATTGAAATTGTAGAACTGCATTGAACTAAAAATTGGAAAATTGTCGGCGGTTTGTCTTATTGTTGTCTGGGTGAAAATACACGCGTAAATGCGAGTAATAAATTATTTCAACCACAGATTAAAAACCCATTTAATTTATCAAAATGTTCTTCTGTTTTTTTACAGTATCACCTTGTTTAAATCATCCCCGGGAATACCGTCTATGTGTCATTTGATCTGATGCAATTGGAAATACTTTCGGAAACATTTTACGAACATGTAGAAATTTCATGTGAGAGGTATTTTGGAAGAGGTCACTCTGAAGAGGAAAGGAAATTCCTTGCAAATTTGTTTGTCGGAAGCAATCATTTCTTGCAGCTGTATACTGTATATATAACACGCGAGGTATGCAGTACTGTTCGTACTTTGTTGCGTAGAATGTGTGTGTGTCTCTTGATAATTGACCTTATCATCGTGCATCCAACTTGACAAATGGAATTTTTCCAATTTGCGGTTCTTCTCGTTCGACCACATCAATTCGCTTTGACTGCTGTAATGAAATTTCGGGTTATACAGCATTTCCTCAATAATATGGTCCTCACTTTTCTTTCTTCTTCTCTCGAATTGATATAAAAATGAAAAAAAAAATGTGCACCAACATGGAAATGAGGCAATTTCTTGCTTTGATGGTGATGGCGGCTGCATATGAATGAAAAGGAAGACTCAAGTCACCACCACCGACTATATACCCCGAGCGAAATTTAGCGACTCTCATGCTGGAAAAGTCCATTTCCTTCCATCAATTTTGAACCAGTCACATGCATCATTTCTTGAAGTTGTTGCTGCTTTTGTGCCCTTTACAGGACACCCGGTATGTTTTCTTTTTACGTGGAGGAAAACCTTGTACCTGTATATAGAAGGAGAACTGAACCCTGGGGATTTCTCCCTTTCTTATTATCATGCATCTTTAGTATCCTCACCGGTATAAACCGGGGTTGAACACGATCTTTGATGCTTCTTGAATAGGTGTGCTTTCATAAAATATCATTGATAATTGGGTCATTGCCCTGGTTTTTTCCCTCGGATTTTTACAACATTTTTTCAATTTACTCTGTGGTGGAAAGTGAAAGATTTCCTGTTAAAATCAGGGTCCTCCACCAATATACCCCGCCAGGGGGCTGACAATTTGTCACACTATAGCTAAACGTTAAATTTCAAAATTTGTATATAACGTCTCAATCTAAGCTGTAAAAAATTTTAATGGGTGAAATAATGAAAAATGTCCATGTTTTCAAGTGGCCTGTTGACAAATTGGTAGCATCCCATGAGTGACATATGGGTGGAGAACTTTGGCCGCAGCTAGAATAATGTTTTCACTTACAATCATGCATTAAATTGAAACAGATTAATTTTTTTTCAAATCTGAACCTCAAAACATCATGGGCTATGCCATGATCTTTTAATAATTTTTTTTTTTACAATCCCCACCTATATGTTATAGTCTAAAGCAGTGTTCTCCAACCCATGGTTTGTGGACCAGCAGCAGTCTGCAGAATTTTTTGTTGTTGCCACAATGGTATTTGGCATTATCTGATGAAAATAAAAGTCGGCTTTTCTTCTCACAACACTCTTGAAAAATTTTACCCTGTTGAAATGAATTATTCCAAATTTTCTATTCTGAAACATTTTTCTTCAAGCCCAACTTAATAATTTTTGATGGTTTTCAGCTTTATAGGTGCTTCATTGCAAAAGGTGCTCAACTCAAATTTTTGCATCAAAAAAGACAAACTCTTGAATATCTGCCGAAAGGCTTCCAAGCTAAAATTTTGTGAGCTTGCAAAAATTTTATAAAACTTTGCTGGTTCAAAAAAAATGTTTTGAGAATTTGCTGGTCTGCAAAAAATTTGACAAAAATGTCCCAAAAAGGTTGGGGATCACTGGTCTGAAGCAGTGTTCCCCAATCTGTGGTCCTTGGACTGGTGCTGGTCTGCAGATTTTTTTTTTTTTTTTTTTTGCTGGTCTATGAGAAAATTTTGTCAGCATGCTTAAATTTATAGAAGGCATAGTAATGAAGTGTGTTATTATAGTATCCCAAATTTTTGAAAGACAAATGCAGTAGAAACCATCTGATAAAAATTGAAACTTGTCTTTTCTCTTGAAAATAACAAACACTTCAGAAATTTGTTTCACCTACAAAATATATAACTTCAAGTTTTCAATCCCAATCTTGAAGCCTTTCTTGAAGCCCAGCTTTATATTTTTTGAATAAATAATTCCTTAGTATTGCTGCTTCCTTTGGTTCATGACTTAATTCTTGTGTTCTGAGGACTTCATCATGGCATATATTAAAAAAGGTTTTCTCTTGGACTTTCAACAATTGCATGCAAATATTGCTGGTCAGCAAAATATTTTATTTAAATTTGCCGGTCCGCGAGCCCAAAAAAGGCTCGGAATCACTGGCCTAAAAAGTATCAGAGCCCGCGGCGTTGAACAATAAAGTAACACCCTCGTTTTGTTTGTACATGTGCCATGATCACGAGATAGAAGAGCCAAATGTAGGCAAGAATGAAAGGAAAGGCGGCGGCGATTCATTTCTGCACCAGGAGCTGGTATTTAATGAGTATCCAATCCCTCTGATGACGGAGAAGATGAACAGCAGGAAAAGAAGAAGAAGGAGGAGGAGGAGGGACGATCTATTACAGTAGCTACATAATGAAGTGGAACCACGAGTCATTTAGTCATTTGTCATCATCATTATTGCTGCAGATGGGCCCGGTCAGCAGGCAGATCCACAATACACTGTAGTAGTGATCGAGACGCGGGGGCCGTGTGAGTATACGGTAGAAGGTACAGCACAGAGGAATGGTACAGTGCATCATGCTGGGAACATGTTCTGCCTGCAACACACACACACACACACACACTCAGTCGCCGTCATTCGGCTTCCAGTCCGTGTAGGCGTAGTCTTCGATGCTGTCCTCTGCTGCTGCTGTTTGTTGCTCGTCGTCGTCGTCGAGATCGTCGTCTGCTGCTGCACCAGCAAAAGGAATCGAAGCTTCTTCTTTGCTGATGAACTCCTGCTGCTGGCTGATGCTGGGGACACGCGCCATTCTCGGCGGCGCCGTCCACGGTGCTGATGATGCCCGTTTTCCGTACCTGCGAGGGCGACATCTAGCATGAGTACGAGCGAGCGCGGACTAGTTTTCACGCCCACCATCCGAATCCCCGCGGTATACTCACCAAAAAATGATCAATCAAAATCTCAAGATGGAGAGAGAGAGAGAGAGAGAGAGAGGTACGATTCGCACCCGACCACTCGTGATGGAAAAATTACCAAAAAGATACATATTTGACAAACTTTCAAGTCTGAAATGAAGTTATCATTTGCCTATATGCTGCTGGCGGGTGATTATAAACCACTTCATATAAATGTTAGAATGCAGTTCTATCGGAAAGTTTTGGGCTCAGGGCGGAATTTTCAATACACGGACAATTTAATGCGTTATCCTGCAATGATATAAATTTGCTTGAAATATTACGCATATTAAAAATTTTGAAAAATTTGGGGCTATATAGTGTTGCCTGATAGCAAACACAGTGAACGCAAAAGCATTTCGTTTGTTCAATAATTTTTTTTGACACTGCATTGCCACATTTGAGTAAGGCATATGCCCAGAATGTGGTTTTCATTCACGCATAGTCATGTCAATAATTGAAAATAATAATAAGCAGTAGACCAAGAAGGAGTAAAAGCAATAATCCATTTTCACTTGACTTTCAAAAAACACTAATTAACTTGAATATGCTTTCCACCATCATTTTGTTTCAATTTCTCTACCTAATTTGTCCCATTTTTCACTCAAAATTTTATAATTGCTGAACTATAAGAAGAATTCAAATATTTTTAAATTCATGAATACATGAAAGATTGACAATGTGATTGCTATGCATTTTTGAAGGAAATTGTATCAGAGAGTTTTTCTTCTTCTTTTTTTGCCACCACGTTATAATTTCCTGGGATCACTGCATTGATTCTGCCCTAGCTCACAATATCAAGTATTTATTTACTGCCTTCTGGTAAAATAATTGTTTTCCAAACTCGTACTATTGTATGTCTGCCATCAGAGCTCAGAGTAGTAGTGTACACTGCTTCTTATTTTCCATTGCAAGTAATCATGCTGATTGCAATGATTTTAAAAACATTATATTCCTTACTTGCTTGCTGTAGAAATTTACCATAAATGTTCCAAAAATGGCTGGTCTGCATTGCATCCTGGTCTCAAATAAACATTGGGTCTGCAATGCTGGATTAAAATAGCCAGCTTCAAATAGTGCAAAGATCCTGTCCAAATTATTTATTCATTTAAACCTTATCTTGGAGCAGGTTGAATACCTTATTGTGCTTTAATGTGGGTTTTGTACTGTAACTTCTTTATGCTGCAATATGTATTATTAAGATTTTGTTTCAACAGGGAAAAGAAAAAAGTGTATGTATTTCTATCAGTTGAGCAGTTCCACTTTTCGGAATTTATCTTCTTTTCTTGTAATATACAGCTTGTTTCTCCATTTTCCATTCTGATCTGAAAAATGAGTTTGGATAAATTTGAGTAAGGAGGGGAGGGGGCATGGGAGCTTTCTTTGAACCTTGGGAATGCTGAAAAGTGGAAAATAAAGCTTGCTGTTCAATTCAATTCTAATAGTAGCTCATCAAAAAAAAAAGAGACACAGTGGTAATAAAAAATTCCTAAGCTTGCTTTCCACAATCTAGTCTCAACACTCAAATAAGAAGCCCTTCTGATTTAAACTTTTCCTATGCATTCCTGTCTGATTTCAAAAAATCAGGGCAAAATCCAATTTTTTTTTATATTTTCTCCTTCTTTCCCCAATCTTTCTTTAAATAATTTTCTACAGTCGCAACTGTTGGAAATATTTGGGGGTCTCTAGTAGACACTGGTTTCTATTAACCCTTCTGCAGCAAAGGGTCCTTTTGCATTGTGGGACTAAGTCAGGATTTTCTTGGGTAGGCTCACATTTCATTTTCCTTGAAGGCCATGAAAGCCAAGCCAGGTGGCTTAGGGCCAATTCAGACTTTGTCCAGCAAAAATGTGTTGCTAATATTTCCAAAATTCAGACCCTCTTCTGCTAATCTTTTGTTGACTCTAAATGTGAATCCTTCTTTTCTGGCACCCAAAATGAAATGATTGAGAATCTGAGTATTCAGCCTTGGCAATGGATTTTTTTCAACATTTTTCTGTGGATTGAAAAAAAAAAAAACATTGGGACCTTATGCCAGACTTTGCCCTGGGTGAACTGTTGAACTTTTTCTTTTGAATCTGTCCACATCACAGACACAACATTTGGTAGGACAAGTCTGACTTTGCTGTCTGCTGAGGGTTAAAAGGCCAGCAGGGGAAAATTTTGAAAATTCAAAATAAATGTTGGGGCGTTTATTGGAACATACTGTATACAGTAAATTTCAACATCACTTTAGGTCCACTGTATAATAATAGAGAAGAATCTACCAGGTATTCCTAAAAAAGAATTGTTTCTTCTTGTTCATTTCATATCAGTTTTTTAAATGAGTGTTTAGGTTTGATTTGTGCTTACAAGGAAACAACAGTTGTTGCAATATACAGTCAACTCCTGTCTAATGGACTTGATTTGTGCAAGGGACGAGTCTGTTAGACAAAAAGTCCTTTACACGAATTCAATTACATAAAAAATTAAAAATTTCAATTTTCAACACTAATTTTAAACCAAAAGAAGTCTGTTTGGCGGATTTTGTCTGTTGGGCGGGAGGAAAAACTGCTTGCAGAGATGGTCTGTTTGGCAAAAATCCCTTACACGGGATGTCTGTTAGGCGGGGGGCCACTGTACTGAATATACTGACCTTGGCCTGCCCAACTTGGTGTACATCTGGTCAATGATCTGCAGCCGCTTCAAGGCGCCTGCCAAAACGTCGCCCGACCGCCTCCGCACACTAAATACCTTCCTGGCCATGGCACCACCACCACCACCACCACCACCGTTAGTCGTCGGATGTGGTAAGTCGTGCCAGCGGCGGTAGTAGTAGTCGAGTGATGGGTGCTGATGGTTATTGGCATTATTGGGTTCTGCTTGCTGGCGCTGGTGGCGACTCATCGGTACGACCACACGCTGACCATCGTAGTGCACGTCATTACTCCTTTTGATGGTGCTTCTTGGCTGCTGATGATGTTGATGGTGCACGTGCACGTGCTGGTGGTCACACGTGGCCACGGACGCCAGACACGCAAACACCGCCAGCATCAAGACGAGGGTGCCAACGGCGACCAACGTCGCACCGCCGCCACTCGACGCACCACTTCTCCTCTGCCTCGTCGTCGTCGTCGTCGTCATTGTCATTGTCCAAACCATCGAAATTTTTCTCAGGTATTTCCAGGAATTGATTCTCCACTCCGCCAATTTTTATTCCTATATGCTGGTCACTATATACGGAGGCTATTCTCTTTTTTTTTCTTGGCGTCTCAAATAATGCTGTCGAAGTCCATCATTTCGCACTTGAGACGCTCTGTTATTTGCGATTTTCCTTCCTCAGCAAAAAAAAATTATATTGCACACATATACGAGTATATATAGAAAGGTTTGTGACGGGCGGAAAGATCGAGTGTTGAGGGAGATAAATTCCCTGAAAAAAGAAGAAAAAAAAACCTGATGATCAAGTCAAGTCAGGCATCATCACACAAACACTCATATTTATTAAAAAAAATGCGCTTATTCTGATAAAACTTGTTGTCCGAAATGTGAAAATTATTTTCTTCTATCCTTTTTCATCGCCTCAAAAATGCAGGAAGAAAAACATTGGGGGAAATTCTCATTCAACTGTCACACTTCAATTTCCTTTGAACTGTCAGGTTTATTCAACAGCAGTCAGCATAAAATATAATTAATGTTTTACACTAATTTCGAAAATTTACGAGTGTGCCATATTCCTATACATATATCTAAGAGAAGCCTCTGAAATATCAGCTTATGAAATTCTGAATGTACTGTATGTAATGGCCGCCCTAAATTGATATTATGTGCTCATCAAGTTTCCCGAGCATTATCTGTATTATTGATAATAAGTCTTGATTCTCACTCGCTCAGGCATAAAAATGAATTTGATTCCATTGAAACACTGCATGAAGCCTAACTCAAGTGAAACAGACCGTGCATAAAATATTCAAATCACGTCACCATATATGCAAATACAGCATGTATATACCATTACCCAAAAAATCTAAAATGGAAAACCATCGTCTGCTTGGCATTTACAGTTTGTTTGAAGAACATCTGTGTGAGAAAGAAAGCAGACACGTGACGATAATGCGTGCTAATAAGTGTGAACAGGACATCAAACACACTTTTGAACAAACGCATGATGTGATGAAGCAATGATGCGCCAAAAGGGGGTGCAAAAAACACAAAGAGAATAAGAGGGCACTTCAAAAAGGAGGGAATTCCTTCTAATCTTCAGCCTAAACAAGACACGGTAACCCGGAAAATGCCAATTTGCATGAGATTCTCTTCCTTCCGGGCCTTTTTACCCAATTCCGCTCGGCTTCCGGCCGGAAGAAATGCACCCCTGGGGCAAACCTGTACATATACAGTATATACAACTGCTGTGAGATGTGTAGGTGTTGGTAAGTGCATCCGAGCATTACAGTGCACACACGGATGAATAACTGTGCAACTCAACATTCGGCATGTATATACAGCACTGTATATTATACAATGTATCACTTTCTTGAGGAATAAAATAAAAAATAACTTCTCGAAAATACTATCTGTACTTGCGACTATTTTTAAATCAGAGTCCCTGTGACAACAAACATGGAATGATGGACCATTGTTGAGAGTGTGTCAGAATAAACATTTAGTAGATTAAAAAATTAATCTAAAAAACCACGTTTTGAAAAAGCAAAAAATAACCTTAAACGTGGTGCGCATCTATTTCATTTGTATTTCACTTCTTCCCAACAATCTCCATGCGCACCACGCTTAAGGTTATTAAGCAAAATTTGAGTTGCAAAATTTGATCTGCACAAACAAATGGACAAGAAAGCGAGTTAATAAAAACGTGTTAAAAATGACCTCACTTTTAATTTCATTCTGCTATTACTCAAGAAAAGAAGGTATACTCAGCCAATTGCCACAAAAATAAATATGAATTAAATAATACTGGGAAATGATCATACTAACAAGTACCATGCAAAATTTTGAATGCAACAAGGGAGTGTGCATTATTGTGGGCAGGTGGTGCCCCACAATTTGACCCTAATCTGTTGCCAATAAGCTAAGACCAAATTGTGATCCAGTCAAAATTGTGAGACAATGTCAAAATTTAATGTTTTATACATTGGATTTGATCTTTTGGGTCTCTCTGCAGGTCAAATTGGAGGACTGAGGTCAAATTGCAAGTCAACAACTATCCCATCGAATCCTACTGTCAAATTGTGTGATGTTTGAATTGTCAAACCTTGAATTGCAAATTACCACCAGTGTGCATTTTATAAATAGTTTTAGAAAATTTAGGCGTGGATTACAGTATACTTGATTTTGATGGGAAATTTTGGATGAAGTTATTGAAAGAAAAAAAACATATTTCATTGAAAAAAATAGAAAATTAGTCAAATTCATGTTCAATCCATGTCTAAATTCAAATTTGGGAAGATTTCACCTGTGAAATGTTGTGGTTTCAGAGTCTCTAGAAATGATGTGCAAGTCTTCCTTGGGGATTGGACTGTATGAAAAACCATGGCAAACATCTTTTCTTGCAGGTGAACCTTGATAACTCAAACCTCCTGAAGTCAAATACCCATCTGAATACCCTGGGAAACAATAAATTAAAAACCTCCCTAAGTTAATGGCTTTTCCCTTCAAACCTCCATAAGTCAAATTTTCTTTGGCCTGTTTGTCATAATTTTCTTGACCCAAAAAAGAAGCAAGACAATAAAAACATGAATGTATGAGTTTCAAAGCAAGTGAAATACTGTACTTAATTGTGCAAATGAACCCCTGCCTCCAAGTTCAGCATCCTTCCAACTCATTAAGAAACCATTCAAGCTGCAGAATATCACCATTTACAATTTTTCCAAGTTTCCCAGAAAAAAGGGCCTTGTATTGTAGGTCAAACCTCTATAATTCACAACCTCCCTAAGTCAAATTTTTTTTCTGGTCCCTTGAAATTCTACTTACAGAGGTTTGACTGTGCTTGAGGGTGTGTGTGGTGCCCTCAAGTAAACACAGTTGTGAAACAGGTGTTATGGACCCTCTTTGCAGCAAAAATCTTGTCTGCAATGATTTTCTGTGTACAGTACTGTATACAGTATAACAAATTTTTATTCCCCCCCCCCCCCCATGAATTATAGTGGTTCTATATACACAAAAGAAATTTCTGGGTCCCTGGAATTTTGTTGTGAAAAACAAGAGAAAGTAGGGTCCACCTGTAGAAGATAAAGAAAAATAATTAAAAGCTGGGTCAGATGGAGAAGATGACGACGACGACGACGATGATATGAGGTGTGTTACATTATTGGCAGCCAAAAAGTGGGGGGTTGAAAATGTCGACACTTGATACAAATAAAATGCACACTCGACAGTTCCGACAGCGAGCAGCGATATACAATACATGAGGCACAACGTGTCGTCGTTTCTGCCACCGCACACTAGGTGGACCTCTCCTTTATAGGGTGCCATCAGCGCGCGCTTTTATGATGACGTCCACGTCCCCCCCCCCCCTTTTTTTTTTTTTTT